TGGATAGCATATTTTTTTTTTAAAGTTCGAGGAATAGGTAATTCGAGCTGAGATATTTTTTAAAAGAAAATAAGTCACCCGAGTTATATTTTTATTATTCATTTATTAGAATTTGTGATTTTCTTAAGCCTGTTTATTTCTAGCGAAAACTTTATTTTATACCTATTTTTATTATTTAATTGTGTTTTTTTAGTATATTAGGTAAAAAAATCAACGGGGTGATGAGAAAAAAATTCAAATAATTATTCAAAACGACAACTATTGGAGGAATTGCATTTTTATTTTATTTTTGAAACCAAGAGAGATGGGAATGATTCTTCCTTTCTTTCAGAGGTCATCGTCAATGGCGTCGAGCAAGGAAATTATCAATTCATCTTCATCTTCATCTTCTCCTCCTCCTCCTCCTGTCGTCCATCCTCTTTCATCTATCCTTCCTCGTTCCAAACAAAGAGAACATCAGGGTGGTGATGATGTGAAGAATGAGAGAGGATCATGCCTCCCACAACAAAAAAAAGAAGACATGAAATTAATTTATTGATCTCTATCTCGTTTTTGGAAGAATTGGAGCTTATACTGTTGAGAATCAAATGAGATTATGCTACAGAAAGAATGAAATGGAGATTTCTCCATGCTCAAGAGTTTTTATGGCAACAAGGAACGGTAAGCAAATCTATCACGAGTGGGCTACCAATGCCTTTCTTCGTGGGCTTTTCTTTCAAGTAGCTGGTCAGCTTTGTAATTTAAACTAGTCTCAGTTTTTTTTTTTTACTTTATGGGCTTTTGACAGCCTTGTTTTATTTTTTACTTTATGGGCTTTTGACAGCCTTCGTAATAATAGGGCTTTTAGCCCGTCTTTTTATATTCATGTGGGCATGACTATAAAACCCTATAATTTATGGGCATGAAACCAAGCCCAGCCAAGTTTTTTTTATCCATTTAGAAAATTGATTTGGTAAAATATAAATAATATAGTAGATCAATTCATGACCTGGATGAGCTGTAAAAAACACAAATTCTTTACTCTATTATAGGAATTTGGTTGAGAATCCATTAATACATATTTACATATATATTCGAGACAAACAAAATAGGTTTAAGATCTATTAAATATTGGTTTATTTTAACATTTTAAAAGTATTTTTTAAAAAAATTATTATGTCTGCTTCAAATTAGTATTTTTTTAATATATTTTGATTATTTTAATGCATTAATATCAAAGATAATTTTTAAAAATAAAAAAATTATTTTAGTATATTTTTAAGTGAAAATTATTTTAAAAAACAATCACAACTACAATTCTAAATAAACTCTAAAAAAGGATTATACAAAATGCCTAGCATTAAAGCAATTGCTTTGAATAAGCTTGTAGTACTGAATGAATTTCTGATAAGCTTCGGATATTTAATATCCTGATTAATTATCTTCTATGTAGCTTTAAGAACTAATGATACTTTTAAAAATCTTAGACCTATCTCATGATAAGCTTTGATTTTATGATTGTTCTAATTATAAATTTGAGTTGTGTCCTCAAAATTTTGTTTACCAGTTCCATCTCTTCGCATAATCTAAAGTAGCGAACTAGTGAATCCCTTTGCTGATAAACTAGAAGTAGTTGACGACTACTCCCATTTCCACCATGTTTCCCACCAACTCTTTTAATTAATGCAAAAATTAACTTTTGTGCTCATTTATATGAACAATGATCAATGCTGCTCTTTTTTTATCTTTATCTTTTTTCTTTTTGCCTTGGTATGCTATGTTGGTTATTTATGTTGGCTTTTGGGTGTTGTTTATTATGTTCTTTTGGTTGATGGTATAGTTATTAATTAAAATTAATTTAATTAGGTGAATTTACTAGAAAATTAAGTGTGTAGTTTAGAGTTTAGTTGGATAATTTAAATCAATTTTAATATTGATTTGGATAAAATCTAGCAACTCAAAGTGTTTGAATCAAAACCAAGAATTTTTTTAAAAAAACAATTGCAACGATATTATTTTAGATAAAAATTATAAATTCAAGTTTGAACAAGTGATCCATGAGTTGACTCAGTAACATAGTGATTTAATAAGCTAATGTCAAAAATAATTTTTAAAAAATTAAAAAAGTATTTTAATATTTTTTTGAATGAAAATCAATTTAAAAAACAATTACAACTACAATTTTGAATACAATTTAAAAGGGGGTTATACAAAATACCTAGCATTAAAGCATTGCTTTGAATAAGCTTGTAGTACTGAATGAATTTCTGATAAGCTTCGGATATTTAATATCCTGATTAATTATCTTCTATGTAGCTTTAAGAACTAATGATACTTTTAAAAATCTTAGACCTATCTCATGATAAGCTTTGATTTTATGATTGTTCTAATTATAAATTTGAGTTGTGTCCTCAAAATTTTGTTTACCAGTTCCATCTCTTCGCATAATCTAAAGTAGCGAACTAGTGAATCCCTTTGCTGATAAACTAGAAGTAGTTGACGACTACTCCCATTTCCACCATGTTTCCCATCAGCTCTTTTAATTAATGCAAAAATTAAATTTTATGCTTATATGAACAATGATCAATGCTGCGCGTTTTCTTTTTCTTTTTTTTTTTTGCCTTGGGATGCTATGTTGGTTATTTATGTTAGCTTTTGGGTGTTGTTTATTATGTTCTTCTGGTTGATGGCATTGTTATTAATTAAAATTAATTTAATTTGGTGAATTTACTAGAAAATTAAGTCGGCGGTTTAAAGTTTAGTTTGAGTTAGGATTAAATTTAAATAAATTTTAATATTGATTTGGATAAAATCTAGCAACTCAAAATGTTTGAATCAAAACCCAATTTTTTTTAAAAAAAAAAACTGGAACGATATTATTTTAGATAAAAATTACAAATTCAAGTTTGAACAAGGGACCCATGAGTTGACTCAGTAACATAGTGATTCGAGGCATTCCTTTACTGACTCGGCTGTTTGTTTTGGCCTTTGTTTTTTCCTTTATTGCGTTGATGCCATTGAGTTGTTTACTTGTAAGCTCCCCCTCCTTCCTCCGTGTTGACCTCTAAACAACTAGCACTCTTTGCCAAAAGTACTGTGTGATGCATCTTCAAGAAGCAACCTGTGATTCTCCAACCAACACATGAAAACAGTTTCTTAACAAGTTACATCGAGCACCAAAACCCTAAAAGAGAGCCAATTCTTCAAGACCAAGTTAAGCACTATCCATTGATCGATTAGTTTAGTTAAAAAGTTCATCAACAGTAGTATTGTTTTTTGAAGAGGTTTCCCGACCAAGACTTCAATAAAAAGCATTGCCCTCAGTAGGTTAATTTTCGATTCATGACCTAACTAAACACATGACATGCCTCTTACCCTTAAGATGTAATTAAAGTCAGATAAACTAAACAACTTATAATCATGTTTTTTGCCTTGATTAAATCAGAACCTTGTAAGCTTCTGCCTTGGTTGGATAACGGCTTTAACAAGAAATACCTGAAAGTGGGTGATTAACTACCCTTTTTCTCTCTTTTTAGATGGTCATAACCTGTATGGAAGTGACATAAATCAATGGTATTGTATTTTGAGTCAAGTGGACACCGTCTCGACCAAGTCATTGCTGCTTGTATCAGTAATTGTTTATTCCCACTACCGAGCCAGCAGCCACCAGTGCGAATATTTGATACTTTTTACAAACATGTAATATTCTCTAGCCATAATATTTTTTAAAGTCTAACATGCAAGGATATTCTTGAGCTAAATTTTATATATTAGGAATAAATCTTTTTTTAATTAGATATCAAACAATATTTAAAATATAATCAAAGTTTTAAATGAAACATTCACTTTTATTAAAGTTATATTCAAGTTCATGAACCAATATATTTTATACTAAAAACTTTTTTTTTTCTCGTAAAACTCATGACTAGAAAATATCAAGAGAAAGAATATTTATTATAAAAGCTTAGGAAAGACTAAAATCCATAGTAAGGAGGGTTTGTAAAAAATCAAGTTTAACTTTTTTTAGATTTAATTACATACTGAATTCAAATATATATGAATTTAATAAAAAAAAATTATAAATAAATTTATTAAGTCATTCAAATTTAGTTAGATGAATATTAAATTCAATTAAAATTAAAATTTAGGTTAGGTTAGATCCCAAGGCTTAAATTTCTCAGATTAACTTTCTCTAAGTAAATTATGTTAATAACTACATAGTATTGAAATAACTACATAGTATGTTAATAACTACATAGTATTGAAATACATAGGCATCACCTTAAACATGTTAGTTGGGAGGTATTAAACCAGCCAAAAACCATCTCTTTTTATATCTTGCTTTAATCTTAACACCTTCAGAAGAAGAAAAAAATTCCAAGAAACTTCAAACTGCAAGTATAGAGGGATCTTGAGAACACCAAGAAAGATTTAAAACAGAAACAGGTATAGAGGAGTCTTAAAACTTCAAATCTCAAGTACTAAAGTACTCTCTCTTCCTTTGGCACAATTTTAATTTCTGGCCAAAATTTTCAAGCAAACTTATACCATGTACTACCTGGAATTTTCAAAGGAAATTTTCTTTTTTGGGTCAACATTTTCTATATACTTTGATAATCCGATCGATATTACTTAGCAACTAACTCAATTAAGCTAGCCTAGGAGCTAATTTGCTCACTAAAACCAGAATATTTCATGACACATAATTAACTGAGCTATAACATTATTGCCAAGACTAATTTAGCAATGATTATGTAATTAAGTCAGCTCTTTGATCGGTTAAAATGAATGTGAGAAGAATTAAGTTCTTGATTAATAGAAGAGGAGATTTGAAGGAACATGTAGTCAGGTATGACAAATGTGCATGCATGAGAGGGAGATTTAATCAGAAAGTTTGGTGCATGAGAGCTTAACAAAATGCTTGAGCATGTTTGTGATGTAGCAACAGATCAAAAAAGGACACAGACAATTACTAATCTCCAAACGTCGAACTTTTTTACTCTATAAATTCTCTTCAATTCTGTTATGTTTCATTCAATTCAATTGTACCACCAGCAGCAGCAGTCAGAGCTTATAACTAGCTAATTGATTAACCATGGAGAAAGCACACACAAAATCTGCTCTTAAGGTTGCTAGCTAGCTAGTTATATGTGCTATATCTTCTTGTGTTTCTTCTTTTTTTTTCCACTTCCCTAATTCTTTAATTTATTAATGCGTGTTGTTGCATTTCTTTAGAAGCTTGTTAAGGCTAGCTCACAGTCTGCACCATGGAGCAATGCTGCTAGAGGAATGGTGAGATGACATTCCTTGCACCTCAAATAGCTAGTTCTCACAAGAAAGCAAAATTAAGCCTTTCGAGAATAGGAACTAGCTAGTTCTCACAAGAAAGCAAAATTAAGCCTTTCGAGAATAGGAACTAGCTAGTTCTCACAAGAAAGCAAAATTAAGCCTTTCGAGAATAGGAACTAGCTAGTTCTCACAAGAAAGCAAAATTAAGCCTTTCGAGAATAGGATTTAGGATTTTTCTTTCATCAACGATCATGCATTATTCAGTATCCAATCATTGACTTCAAAGTCAGTGTCTTAAGTCTCAAGTCTCACGGATCCTCTTAATCATGTTAATTAAAGATAACAACCTCGTAACTTCTCTTTCCCCTCTTAACAACCTCCAAGTTTTAACCAAAACACTCTTTTAAGGCAATTAATGCTATGTTCCCAGCTGACATGACAGATAGTTTACCAGCAGCTCTGCCTCTTTCCAGGGACAAATCATTAGTCATTGAAAGCTACATTTTGCTGGGAAAAGATGTAGAAAGAGGCAAGAGAGTCTTCTTTTAATGATTTTTGTCACTTTGCATGTCAAAAAGGTCATCTCCTTTTGAGACTTTCTTCTCAAAGAATGTTTTGGAGTTTGGAGTGTTGCCTTTCGTTTCAAATGTTGCTAGCTTCATGCCTTTTTTTCCATTTTAAGCATGAAGTAATTTTTAGGTAAAAAAGTGTGTCACCAATGCAGCTCATCGTCACCAAAATATATTTTCTTGCTTACACATATATTTTCTATGAGTAATTGTTTGGAATATATTTTCACAGGCGAAAGATGATCTCAAGGATCCGCTTTATGACAAATCCAAGGTAAAATGGATCACTAGACCCTATAAATTCTCTCATCTATCTGGGTATTTTTGACTGTGCCGAATCCATAATCATGCTGTAGGTTGCCCCAAAACCCCTTGCAAAAGAAAACACTAAGCCCCAAGAATTCAAACTCCACACTGGACAAAGAGCTCTCAAACGTGCCATGTTCAACTATTCTGTAAGCAACTTAATTCCATCTCTGCACAAAAGCATCCTGCTTTTCAATGTTTATTCTGATATTCCAATCTTTTCTCTGAACTATTTATAATTTCAGGTGGCAACCAAGATATATATGAATGAGCAACAGAAGAGGCAAATAGAGAGGATACAAAAGGTATCAAGCTAGTGCCCATTTTTTCATGGTGCAAGAGAGAATTACATCAAGTACATAACATTGATCCTGCTAATGAAATTGTGTGCAGATCATAGAAGAAGAAGAGGTTCGTATGATGAGGAAGGAGATGGTTCCAAGAGCTCAATTGATGCCTTATTTTGACAGACCTTTCTTTCCCCAAAGGTAAAGAAACTTGACAGAAATTTGTTCAGTTCAAGCTCATGCAATAATTTAAAGAGGCTAACTTAACTAAATTTGCTGCCCAAGGCTAAAAACATTAGCTAGAACATTGTGTGATATCAAACAGGTTGATCTCTATCTTTGGTGCAGATCAAGCAGGCCATTGACAGTTCCTAGAGAGCCAAGTTTCCACATGGTGAACAGCAAGTGTTGGAGCTGCATCCCTGAGGATGAACTTTACTACTACTTTGAACATGCTCATCCCCATGGTCATGCCTGGAAGCCTGTTAAGTAAATAAATTGCCATGATTTGTAGGGGAAAAAACAGAGTGGAGTATTCTCTCTGTGCTGTTAATTTCTTCTTGCTGTCCAATTTAGTCTTGTATAATTTGGAGTGTTGATAGTGTTTACTGTTTAGATCATGTGGTAGGTCTTGTAGTGGGTGTAAGTAGTCGCTTTTTCATAGCGGAAAGTCCTTTCCATTTGGGGGGTGTTTTGCTTACCAATAAGGTGGATTGTACTTCGTTTTGTACTATTAAAAACCAAGTCACCCTCTTTTCTGTCTTTTAGCAGCATGGTCGTGCATGCCCTCATTAAGCACTTCATTTTATTTTGCTGGAAATGAATTATCAAAGTAGACTGTAATTCTTTTACCCATTTTGGTTTTTTTTATTTTAAATAATAGCAAAGTCACAAAAAAAAAGCTTGCAAACTAGCACATTTGGAAGAAAAAATCGGATCTAACGTATTTTTGTATTGCAACCAACAAAAAATTTATTAGTTTCAGCCTTTCCAGCAACGCAACTCTTTAAAATAAAAATTTATGAAAAAAAGTCAAAGGATCAAGAAGAAATAAAGATTTACAATGCCCCATCAACATAAATTTTTCTTTAAAAAGAAAAATTCAAAGGAATGTGTTGATGGGATCAGCTAAACAATAAAAGTTTGTGTTTTATTTATTTATTTGAGAATTCTGATTTTACCTTCTCATAAAGATTATTTTCTAACTAATTTAAGAAGTTATAAATCTCTAACAAAAATATACCAGAATTCATAATTATTTTTTGAAAATAAAACTATGAAATGAATTTCAGATTATTATATATAACCTTTTCGATCATCAGCTTTGTCTTTCTTAGTTATTGGTGTTCGTGCTTCGTTCTCCATCAAAGACTTAGATTATGCAGCATGCTATGAATCTTTTACCAGAATCAAAAGGCAACATTTTGCAAATTATAGGAATTAGAAGAATATTTAAACTTCGAAGTTCAAACGGTGTGTGCGTGTGTGCATGTATTTGGGCCAAGTTAAATAGGCCTTTCTAATTAACGTCGGTTCATGAATGGACCCAACTTTCATTGAGAGACCATGAAGAAGATGATAAGAGAGGGAGGCTGCTTCCTTTCTAGGGGGTAAAAATAACTGCCAATGAGGTTTCTTCATTGATTTCATTTCTTCTCTCCGAATCTCAGAGCACCCAATAAAACAAACACCAGAAACTCATCAAAGATCCTAAATTTTCTTCTTGTTTCCTCATTTTTGACGCTATCTACTCAATTCTCCTCTCCCTTTTCAGGTACTTACAAACCTTATTTTTTCCTAAGATTTACAGTTCTAGCTGTATGGAAAAAAAAACCCCATTTCTTAATTTAGCTGTTGTATGGAAAAAAAAAAAACCCCATTTCTTAATTTAGCTGACCCTTTGTGTAATTTATTTGATGTTTTGGTTATTTGAGATTTTGGGTTTTCTTTTTTTGGTTTGATGGGTCCTTGATGAAGGTGAGGATCCGAACTTTAGAAGATTTCAGTTTAGGGTACTAAATATGGGGTTCGCTTCTTTCTTTTTTTTCGTGTTATTGATTGTTTTAGTAGGGAAAAAGGGATTTTTAGCTTCTCAATGAAGCTGACCCTTTGTGTAATTTATTTGATGTTTTGGTTATTTGAGATTTTGGGTTTTCTTTTTTTGGTTTGATGGGTCCTTGATGAAGGTGAGGATCCGAACTTTAGAAGATTTCAGTTTAGGGTACTAAATATGGGGTTTGCTTGTTTTTTTTTTTTTTTCGTGTTATTGATTGTTTAAGTAGGGGAAAAGGGATTTTTAGCTTCTCAATGAAGCTAAAGATGCATGCATGAGATGTATGGATGTTTTGTTTTGTTGAAGTTTGTTATCTTGGGGATGGAATAGCTATTGGATGGTTAAGACATCCTATATTTAGAGATAAAGAAGGGCGTGAGCTTTTTTTTTTTTTCGTGTTATTGATTGTTTAAGTAGGGGAAAAGGGATTTTTAGCTTCTCAATGAAGCTAAAGATGCATGCATGAGATGTATGGATGTTTTGTTTTGTTGAAGTTTGTTATCTTGGGGATGGAATAGCTATTGGATGGTTAAGACATCCTATATTTAGAGATAAAGAAGGGCGTGAGCTTTTTGTACATCGTATGCCTACTTTTTTTGAAAAATTTCCAGTTGTTTTGGTAGACAGAGACGGAATTGTTAGAGCTGATGTTCTTTTTCGAAGAGCAGAATTGAAGTATAGTGTTGAACAAGCAGGTGTAACCGTTGAGCTATATGGTGGCGAACTAAATGGATTCAATTATAGCGATCCTGCTGCTGTGAAAAATATGCTAGACACGCACAATTGGGTGAAATATTTGAATTAGTTCACGCTACAATCTGACTCATTTTTTGGTAGCAGTACAGGGGTTGGTTTTGTTGCTTAGTTTCATGGGATTTTGCTTCTTATGGGTTAATTTTGTTAAATATATTTGTTTAGTAAAGAAATAGGTGTTTTTAGGTTCCCGGTTCAATTACGAGCTTTGGAATTTATTTAAAAAGATTAAAGAAGTCTATTAGAACTTGAGTTTATTGACTTCTTAGGAACTTTTTAATTAAAAATATGTTTGGATTAAGCTTTTGGATTTGTTGACTTATCAATGAAGCAAAAGATGCAAACTATGATTTTGTTACACATTTATAGTCCCACCAAATGGAACTTGTAGCTTGTTGGTTTTGCATTCTGTTTCATGTTATTGATTGTTTTTGTTTCATGCTGTTAACTTCATGATTTTATTTTATGTTTTTGCAGGAGTGCAGTTTGAGAAACTTTGATTAAATGATAATTAGTTGAGAATATAAGCAGTTGTTTCAATTCTATTAAACTCAGGAGTGCTTGGATTTGTTTAGTACAGTATGGAGATACAGACAAATGGGAAACCAATAGATTCGCTGTTAGAGAAGGTCCTTTGTATGAACATACTATCATCAGATTACTTCAAGGAGCTTTACCGATTAAAGACATACCATGAAGTGATAGATGAAATATACAATCAAGTTGATCATGTTGAGCCATGGATGACTGGCAACTGTCGTGGTCCATCTACTTCCTTTTGCCTTCTATACAAGTTCTTCACCATGAAACTCACTGTCAAACAAATGCATGGTTTGCTAAAGCACAAGGATTCTCCTTATATCAGAGCGGTAATTGTGCCATACCCTGATTTTTGTTTTCCATGAGTTGGTTGTAAATTCCTGATGCTTGGATATTTACTCACATGCTTCACTTCATTATTGAATTTGAGATATCCTTGCTTGCCTATCAATTTTATCTTCTCTCTTATATTATGTGTATTTACAAGGTCATTTCATTTGCGGAAGCAATGTGAATTCAAAAGGATTTTTGGTTTGTAAGACATGCATGATGGGGTTTAGTTTTATAGTCATAGGTTGTCTTATGTGGGCCTCAGCATTAGCTCATGTCTTATCAATTTTTCAAGGCCTTTACTCATTTTTATCTTTTCTATTTAGTGTTTTACCTAATTTGACCATTTTTTGGAAACTTGAGGAGCATTTTATCAAATTTGGGAACTTTTGGTTAGTGTCATATATCTCAGGGAGTGATTTAGCATTGTACATTATCTACATGAAGGAAATTTAAATTTTCAATGCAACTTGATTAACTCTGTTCTTTAAACTGCAAATTATTGAATGTATAATTTTTTTAAGAGTTGAGCTCCACTTATAAGCACTTTTTATCTACTTTTCTGGTGTGCGAACTGCTGAGAAGTTACAAGGTAATGGACAAAACATTGTCATATCTGAATTTTCATAACATTGAAAATCTCTGTTCTGATTTACACATCACACATGATAATGTCCTTGTTTTTCATAGCAGATCTCTGCAAACCAAGGTTGAGGTGTTCTTGTTTCTTTGAGTTGCTATGACTTTCTCACTCCTACATAATCTGCCCTTGCTTTGCTGAGCAGATTTCGCAAAATTGAGGTTTGGGGTGTCTTATTTTTCTATTCTCACTCCTAGGCTTTTTAATCATGAATCGATACTGTCAGTTGACTGTTTTAATCATGAATCAATACTGTTAGTTGTCTTTTAACCCAATTTCACTTGCTGCCACTTTGACTGTTTTTGTTGCTATTCGCTAATCATGGGAAAACTAGAACTGGCATTTTGCTGCCCACTTCTATTGACCAGGAGCTGTTATTGTTACCATTTTGGTTCTTTGAAATAAGGATAGAGATCCCTTATTCCTTTGGAATCAAAGCTTGGTTCACATTTACCTGCATTTACACATTTTTTCTTCTCTCTCTGCTTGATTTGCAGAATGTACTGGTTAGCATAGGGACTGCTTTATCTTAGCGTTGTGTTTGATTGGTGTCCCCAAATTTGTTTGCAGGTTGGGTTCCTCTACCTGAGATATGCTGGGGATCCGAAGACACTGTGGAATTGGTTTGAACCATATATTAAAGATGATGAGGTACTTTCTTCTCTATATCTTTTCATGCACTACAGCTCAAATTTCTCTCATGAACCTATGTATAATATATTGCAAATTGATGCCTTCTGATTCTTGAAAGCATTAGTTGCAGGTTACAACTCAATATGACTCTAGAAACATTTTTGTTTGTGGAATTGACTCCTCAATAATTGTGCTTAAGATTTCTTCCACATCTGAATTTTGCAAAAAAAAATAAAATCTTCCATAGTGATCTGTGTAGTTGCTTAATTAATACAAGTCAAATGCCATTGTTGGAATTTTTTATTTTTTTAATTATTTCAAAGTCCTATAGTGTTGGGTGGACGGGTATTCAACTTCAACAATAACTTATCACAGGCTTTGATATATTCCAATTTTATTTAGAATGCATTTTATAGGTGAAGTGATGATTGCAATTGCTGTGCTCTGTATTCTTTGAACTAGAGATGCAGTATGTGCTCTTTATTCTTTGAACTAGAGATGCAGTATGTGGCCTTTTGTTTAGGGTAGCTGTCTACAAATACAAATAAACTACATACATAGAGATGGACAAACTCTTAGTTAGGTCTTCTGCAATAAATTTTAACTATAAATAAAAACTTGGTCAAACAGAATGCTGTTGGTTTTCACCAATTGCTTTTCAGATACAAAATTTGTGGTGCTCATATCTGATGGTTCTTTAGATGGTGAAAAGTTTATGATGAAACTGGCAAAGCGGCTATTACTTGACTAGAACAACTAGCAGCTCTAATTGCTTGTTGAATGTACTTATAACGGGGGATACCATTTACACATGTTTCTTGTTTTTCCTGCAGTTGCTCACATGTATAATGCAAAAGAGCACTTTGTAATTTACTTCAACCCCTGTGCTTGTTGAGTAGCTTGCTGAGAACTTTTGATCTAAACATCAAATGAATTTAGGAGATCTGTTAGCTTCTGTTTGGATTGGTTGATTGAAAAACTTCCATTTCTAACACGTGAATAATCTAGTAGATCCTGCTTTCCCAGATGTGGTCTTTCTATTCATGTATTCACTTTTTACCATAACCTAGTAGTTGTCTAGCTAATTCCATCTTCCCTTATACTGCCACTGTTAATGAATGCATTTATGTATTCACTTTTTACCCTAACCTAGTAGTTGTCTAGCTAATTCCATCTTCCCTTATACTGCCACTGTTAATGAATGCATTCATGCTATAACTCAAACCTGACAACTTCACAAACTTCATGGGTTTTTAGACATGATGTGCATGTCCTTTTTCATCAGCTGCTTAAGTTTCTCTTTATATTTCAGGAATTTTCTCCAGGAACTAGTGGAAGGAAGACAACAATGGGTGTATACGTGCGTGATTTGCTTCTCGGACAGGTCAGGTTGAAACAATCTCTAATCCCTCCTAGAATTTTCAGGTTCTGTTATCCTTCCTTGCAGGCCAAAAGGGATATTGATGTCATGTTTTTCTCTTGCAGTACTACTTTGATACCCTTTTCCCCCGTATTCCTGTTCCTGTCATGCGGCAGATCACATCGAATCTGGAGAAGTTGAAGCTACCAACAAAAATCTCTGGTTCAACAGGGGATGGAAACCGTCATGGATCTGACGATACAGCACGCCGACCACCATCTGTGAAGGCAGCACTGTCAGTCTCTTTTGGTCAGCGTGCTCCTCATCGTGCATCAACTAGGGATTCGTCTCCTGTTCGTCGCACAATACCTCCACCCTCCTATGACAGAACCAGTGATGAACCACGAAGCCTACTCGGCCAGAGTCGTGAATATTCTGATAAAGAATATTCGGATCGGGATCGGGATCGGGATCGGGGTAGGGAAAGGGACCGAGACCATGATCGGGATAGAGAGAGAGACAGGGTTCGGGATAGGGATCAGGAGAGAGAAAGGGACCGGGATCGTGAAAGGGATTGGGATCAGAGCCGGTACAGAGACAGAGTTCGGGAAAGGGATAGAGACAGAAGGTATGATTATGATAGAAGTTCCAGGTACACTGATAGGGAAAGCAGAAGGGATTCTGAACAGAGCAGCCATGACAGAAGTAGGCATTATAGAGAAAGTAGTTCATATAGAAGCCGCAGTCGAAGCAGGAGTCACAGCAGGAGCAGGAGCCAAAGCTCGCAAGCTGGCGCCTCACCATTTGATCGCCATCCAACTCCTCAAAGGGATGGAAACAAGGATAAGACATCTGCGCCTAGCAATCTGGCTAAGCTCAAAGATCTTTATGGTGATCTTAGTGATCAGACAGGGGATGCTCGCCTGGAAAGAGTTCCTTGGAGGGATAATGATGGTGAAGAGGTTTTTAGACTCGGTGGTTCTACTTGGAGGTAGGTAGTTCAATCTTCAAACAGTAGCTTCAGTGGCTGCCAGATCAGCTGTATCAATGAGGTCTTCAGCCAGGCCAAATTTCTGTTTGAATCAAGCAAATAGTCGCCATTATAAACTTCCCCCCTTTCTCTAATCATAGTTCTAGATTTTCGCTACAGATTCATGGAAACACTTGAGTGCGTGTTGTTGAGCTGTAGGGCAGCGTGCACATTAGCCCCAACCTATCTTTTAAGTTTCATGTGTACGATTGTTTCAGAAAAACTCAGATAATTTCCAATTCAACTTGTTGCATTAAATGCGCAAGAGAACATTCTTGGTCATATTTCTAATATGTTTCTTGTCAGTGGTTTCTAACCCGGTACCATTTTCCTCGAGGATATAAATTCCATGAATCTTTGCAAGGGAATACCTTTCTATTCAAGAGATTGTATCTCTAGCAATTTTAAATAATGTCTTAACCATGCAAAAACCGTCGTTACTGAGAGTAAGCGCGTTTGGCTACCAGATTTTGGTAGCTTTGGCTGATGTAGTTTGTAGGGTCATCGCAATTTTCCTCGAGGATATAAATTCGTTGATGTTTTTACATGTAAGATAATAAGGATTCATTGGTTAAATGTCACATAAGCATTAAGCACTATATTATAACTATCAGAAGAGGTGGTGTGAAACTTGAACCCAAAATGCAAAGACAACAATCATATGAGCGAGTAGTCCGTCATTGACCAGTTATTTTTACAATAACGGCCGGGTGCCTTATAAT